GATTTTTAAGAAGGAAAGAGCCTTATTGATTTTCAACGTTCTGTGACCTTGTCTTTGGAGTTGACTCTTGGAGAGGGTTAGTCAGTTGCACTCGGTGAAAGGAACAAAGTTAAAACAACACAAGACAATTATAAAGGGGCAATATAATCAAACAACAAAAATAATTCGAAGATTACTTTTAACCTTTGCAGCAGAATGTATTTACTAAGTCAAATCTCTCGATTACCAAATTGCACCCCCCCCCCCCCCGCCCAACTCTACCATTTCTACAAGCTTGCATCCATTAAGAAAGATGTCACCAAGGCTTGATCTAGTGGTCTCGTTTTAACACAAGTCTCAGGTAATGTAATTCAGTTTTGCGAGACAAAATGAAGACAAAATGTGTCACAAAAGAAAAAGGGTGTAAATTAACTTCTTTCTTCACTTCGATAATGCCTCGCTTCGAACATAACAATATCCGGTGTCGATAAAACACAGTAACACAGGGTACAGCCTGAACGCACTAGTCGACCAATATGCCGAAATCCAGTAATATGTTATACAATATAACAGTTAGAACAATCACAATTAGATGCTTTACGCACAATATGTGGCGCCGTGAAGGGAACTAGCCATGATTTACTATATAATGAAGTCGGTATTTTGCCTCTAAAACAACGTCGAAAAACTCTCAAAACATGATCGCTTGGCACCTTCTTATTACAATTTTGGTCCATTCAAGACTTCGTTTGTCAAACAGTGATCTAAATGGACATGCATTTTTAAGACACATAACCGACTCTCCAACCTGCCGATGTAGACAAAATTTTGAAGATCTTATCACTTTCTGCTCATATGTCCCTTAAATTCAGATACACGAAATACAACCATTAAAACACTACCAACAGAATACATCAACACAAAATTTCTATTGTATGGCTCTACGGATATTTCACTTGAACAAAATAAATTATTATTTTCTGAGGTGCAAAACATTTTAGAATTAAGTAATAGATTTTAAGTACTGAAATCGTCATTCTGTTTACACATTAATTTACACTTTCAGGCCTTAAACCAAAATTAGTAATTATGTATATCAAATAACCTTTTTATTTGAAACAAAAATAGTATTGCATACTTTCAGAATTGTATTAATTAATAACATAATATGAATAGTTTCGACTATATACATGTATTTAAGTAAATATATTGTTTTGTTGAAGGGAGAGGTGATATAGGCCTAGCCTGTTCCCCAATCATATTCTTATTGAATAAAAAAAAAGCTTTCTATGATTGGATAGTGAAGTCCCAAGAAATATCAACTAGTCAACTCTCGTTGGAACATAAACATCAGCTTCTTTTGGATTCATATTCCAGTGTATAATATCTGTAATGTATAACATTACAGCGTGCATGATGAATACTACTTTGATGATTGGATATCTAATATGTTTGGGGATGCTGTTTGTGGAGTTCCTGAAACTATTTCAGGCTTCAACAACCTCTACAGCACTGGTGTTTGGAATGCAGGCATTGATGTTCGCACTGTCGTGTAAGTAGATACATATCTAAATTATTTTAACGTTTAATGAATTAACTCGACAGTCGAAACGAGTCCCTTACTGGTATTGTTCATATTATCATCAATTAGAGAATGGAACAAACTAAGTGCGGACACAAAAAATTCAATATCTCTAAATATTTTCAATTCGAAACTTATGGCTCAAGATTCAACACCACCAAAAATGTTTTCGTTTGGATCCCGCACAAACCAAATTATTCATTGTAAACTGCGTCTCTGTTGTAGCAATCTAAACGGACATAAATGTTTACGTCATATTTCTGATAATCCATGCTGCAAATGTGGTCATCACTTTGAAGATACTGAACATTTTTTTATTGAATGGCTCCTTATATTCAAATGCCCGAAATAATACAATAAATAATTTACCGACTATCCATCAAAACACGAATGTCTTATTGCACGGAATTGGCGATATAGAAAACTCACTCAATATTTTTAACATTGTCCACACGTTTTTCGAAATTACCAGACGGTTCAAGTGACTACTATAACGCACTTATCGTAACTACATTTTCAATTGTACATTACTTGACTATTTCTAAAATATAAATCCTTCCAGAGACAGCTATAACACAATCATTGTAATCATATTTTCATGTGTACATTGATTATTTATTTCTTAAATGTAAATACATGTATCTATATCTGACAGGGAGAGGGGTTTAATATAGGCTATGTCTGTTCCCCATTTCCTATTCAGATACAAATCTGAATAAAAATATCGCTTAAAAAAATGACTGGCCAACGGACTTGCATATTGTTCAAGGAAGGGTCACTGGTGTGTACTAGCGTGACAACATCCTGGCACCGATAGTTCTGCCCTTTGCCCAACGTGCAGGTCGACGTTTCATCTTTCAAGATGATAATGCCCGTGTCCACCGCGCTCGTGTCGTGAATGACTACCCCCAGCGTCACCATATTGTCCATATGCCTTGGCCAGCCATGAGTCCTGACCTTTCCCCTATAGAGCATGTCTGGGACATGATCGGGAGACGTGTTCGTCAACGTCAACCGACAACACTGCAAGAATTGGCCGTGGCACTGCAAGCGGAGTGGGTTAAATCGTGATTGGCCAGTTGATTAGGAGCATGCCACGACGAATTGGTGAATGTCCGAGGATTGGTGGAGCAATTACTCATTATTAAGACAAAAATCAAAAACGTCTATTTTCCCTTTTGACAGTGTATCTCTTTGCGAGTGAAATGGGGCCATCAAATAAGCCACCCATATGAACTGGTTATCTTCACGTGTAGGCAATTGGCCTGTTATTAACATACACTGGTTACCCTTAATAAAACACAGCAGTGCATTTCCGCAGTTTTGTATTGTTTCTGAATATCCCCTACTTTTTTTGCAGAGAATATATGTATAAATTTCAAATATTGCATTGTTTGTGTTTCTCTATGTATTGTATTACATTAATTATGAGGGGTGGGTGACCGAATGTTTAACGCGTGCACGTTGGATAAAAAATCTGTCATTGAGTCAAGTGGCGTGGTTCGATTCCCCGCTTGTACGTGATCATGAGTAAAGTCGCCAGTCCAGCCTCTCCCCCCCCCCCTCGACTCATTAATAAAGTCCATTACGCGCAAGCGAATCATTGTTATTTTATGTCGACGGCTTATACTGTAACGCTATTGGAATACTCTTGGATTACTCAACCTAGAAACAGCATTGCTTCTTGTCACTTATCTCCGTTCCCAGTTGTGACCTCCACTTTGCAAGGGTTGAAGTGACTCATTCCGGGGCAGAAATTGAAAGAATAATAAATCAGAATGAAGATATAACTAACGGTAGCTACTCGTGCACATCAAAATATGCCAATATTTATAAGATATTCTTGACATTTGGTCTTTGTCCACACCGTTCATACGGCTCTGTGTCGCGTACAGCTATATTTAACCCTTATTTCTATTTCAGCTTTTGTTACGATGCAAATTCTAATAGTAAGGCTATCAATACGACAGGTAGTAATGCTTGGTAGCATATTTATTTCTACAGGAATTCTAATCTCTGGTTTTGCTGCTAATATCACTGTCCTTATCTGTACACAATGCTTCTTCGTTGGTAAGTTAAAACTTGTCAGGAATTCTGCTTGGTTTACATTGTCCATTTTGTGTTTATAATTCTAGCGATTTTGAATTCGTCTAAAATGCTGAGCAAAACGACAGGTGTATAGTGTTGGGTTCCATTTCCTGATTTGATATTGGTTGGAGAGAGAGAGAGAGAGAGAGAGAGAGAGAGAGAGAAATGGGGTTTAACGTCCACTCGACACAAACTAGGTCATTTCGGGACTAACATATGGTTTAATTTTATTTCAATAATTCGCTTGCGCATAGGGGTCTTTAGCAGTGGGAGGAAACCGGAGGACCCGGAGAAAACCCACGAGGTTGGACAGGCGACCCTACTCCTTGTCACGTACAACCAGGGATTCGAAACCACGCCAGTCGACTCATTGACAGACTTTATGATACAGCACGCGCACGCTAACCATTCAGCCATCCAACCCCCCAGACTTTTACAGGAGTTGGGGGTTGAGTGAAAGACGTTAATTATAAGTATGGTAATGAAATCTATTATGCATTATAACCATATGTATCCAGCTTGATATAAAATGTAGAACTGAACTGATGCTTTGTTATTCCTGGTAAGACAAACCTCTTAACTACCTATAAGAAAAACGTCCTAACAACGTGAAAAGAAAGCAAAGAAGACAAATGAAAATACTAGACGATCCCAAGGCTATTAAGATATGTAGTAAGAATAGGGTGTATGGGTCATACGTAGGATGTGGCGACCGGATTTGCTCGGCCCGTTTTCCATGTCTGACAAAAGACCCATGGTGCTACAATATATGTTGCTTCAAATTTTGTTATATTGTATTAGCTTGATAACGTTGAGAGAATACTCTTCGAAACGTCGCCTAAATAAATCAGTAGCTGTTTTTCCATAAGTATGTGTTACAGTTTATTTATCCACCCAGTTACTGAGTGCCACTTAAAGAATATCTGCCTAGATTGCATTTTACGGTAACCAGGCCCTGTTTTAAGAATGGGCGTGTTATATTTACTCTTCCTGGGCGAGTTCACATGAGCAAACGAGATCTTGCTGTACTTCATTATTATTTCATTTTGAAAAATAATGAAGGACACGTTCCTAAATAAAATCGTACAACACAATGTTTTATACAGGTTGATATCCTTTAATAAAAATACGCCCATTTTCTTTTTACCTCCTTTGTTATTTTATACATATAAAACATATTGATCTCATCATTAAAGTTTATTGAATATATTTCATTTTCTTTACAGGTCTGGGACAGTCGATGATAGTTGGGCCGGGATTAGTGGCAATAAGTCAATATTTTTATAAACGGCGAGCCTTGGCTGTATCCATCTCAAATAGTGGAATTAGCCTTGCTTCAGTTACATTTCCTATGCTATGTCGCTTTTTATTGGACACGTACGGTCTACAAGGAACATTACTTATATTTACGGGTATAGAGCTGAATATATTGGTATTTGCTATGTTAATTAAACCTTTAAAGCCACCAGAGTACTCATCAAAACCACCCCATAAAGCGACTCGTATAAGTGTTGATTATTGGGAATCTGAAAACCAAGCAGATGCTGGCAAAATTGAGATGGATCATGCTTGCAAACCCGAAATAGACAACGTAAATGCAGAATCGAAATTAAATCAATGTGAATCAAAATTAAATCAATGTGAATCAAAAAATAAATTACTTCACAATAATGAGAACCAAGGGCGTCTTACCTCCTCGTTGCTTTCTCTGCCACAACCCCGGAGGCGACGGTCAATTGACAATATTTTAGAAGATGAAATCAAGAAGAGCCCCGGTTTTCATCCAGAAATTCATTCAATGTCAACAATGTTGGGAAGTATTATTTCTCTACCACCGGCGAGTAGATTGGACAAACAACCGTCTAGTGGCATTTTCAACGACATTAAAGGCGTTTTAAAATCTCTTGATTTTCGTTTGCTGAAGAGACCCTTGTTTCATTTCATTGTTTTAACAAGCGTTTTTGGTGTTCCAATATATAACTATATTCAATATCTGCCAGCAATTCTAGAGGAATTTGGTGCAGATCAGAATCATGTTCCCGTACTTCTTGCTGTCATTGGAGTGTTGAGCTTTATCTCCAGGATAGGACTTGGTTTCATAGCTGATTCGGGGTACATGAAGATACAGACAATCATGATGCTGGCCATATTTATTACTGGTGTTAACTGTCATTTAATGCGATTTTATCAAACCTATGCAAGTCAGTATGTGTGTGCAGTTATATTTGGACTATTCGCCAGTATGTACATAAATTTTTTCTCTGTTTTGATAACATCGCTATTGGGTGTTGAAAATCTTCCGAAAGCATATGGTTTCCTCACTATTTTACATGGTGGAGTTGTCGCCCTTATACATCCCATACTCGGTGAGTGTCTTTTATTATTTTACATGGTGAAGTTGTCTCACTTATACATCATGCACTCGATAAGTGTGTTTTATTTTGCACCAGGAGTATAGTTTATGGAAACCAAGGTGATTTGAATGAACCATTTCCTAACAGTTGGTTTGTTTTACCCAAACAACCTGCAAAGGTTATGGATTTCTCACTATTTGGACTTAAACTAGTAAATCTCTCCCCATTGACTTCAATGTTATAACCATGACATTTATTGGCTTATAACATTTTGTTATCCCTCTTAGGCCCCATGTGACGTATACGCCACACGAATTTTAAGGGGAGGGGGGTAGGGACAATAACACGAATTCAACTAGTTACCACTTAAGTCCAAAGTGACACCATTGTCACACTAGTAGGGCCATCTAGGGTTAGTTTGATGGACTAACAAAAGCATGCCAGCCTGTCCAATGTGACAGGTAAAATACCTTTTGGTCTAAGAGGGTTAATATTCCGATGATCTTTATAACCACTCAAATGAAATGAAATGGGGTTTAACGTCCTACTGTATAACCACATAAAGTCCAATATGTCACAATGACCTGCTAAAAATATTAATTAGTGTTGATCATTTCGATTTTTTGCTAAGTCTGATTAAAAGAATATATAGTCAGTGACGTCATTTTAGTGTGCGATCACCTAAATTCATGTCGGTTTACTGCCTTATCAAAGGCTAAAAATCATGAAGAATCACCAAACCTGACAGAAAAGGGAAATTAAAAAAAAAACACCTCTTCGATTTTAGTTTAGACCAAAAAGCAAGAAGAACTGTCACACTGCAGCAAATGGGTATGGAAGACCAAACAGCTCTTTATTCGGTGTTCTTAATTCTTAGTTCTTAATTCATAGTCATTAATTCTTATTTCTTCATGTGTTGTCGTATTTCGACATTTGTACACTAAAATTAACATTTGTATCTTAAAATAAATATTTGTTTTACAAATTAGACATTTGTAAAATGTATTTTTGTTTAATTTAATTCTATTGTAATATAAAGATAAAAATTTATTTTAGTAAATCAAAAAAATAATCTACATTTACATTCCAATTTCATCATAGACATACAACGAAAAACAAATCTCGAACAAAAAATTTCTAAATACAAATCTTACAAAACATTTCTCTAAAAACATTTCTCGAAATTCATCGAACCGGAACATTATGACGACATGAGCGGAAATCAACCTGGAATACATTAAGTCACCACACAACAAAGGAGAATCGGGCAAACATATATACAATAAGAAAAATCGCTCGATGACCATGACTTTAGTGAAATCGTGTGCGTGTTATGTTTCTCTCTCTCTATATATATATATATTGGTTAATCTGATCTAGCATTAAATACAATAAATTGAAAGTAGCTTATTTTCAGAAATTAGGTTTTGTCTGATAGCGACATATTTCTATGGATAAACGAACCAGCGGCTGCCAGGCAGGATACGCCCACATTTTTCAAGAGATGGATAGAGAACAAGCTAAACAAAAAGCGATTTTCGTAACATCAAGGGCCATAATTCAGGAAGCTACGATCAGATATGTGCGAATATCAACAGGAATCAAGATCTTTGGGGTTATAAACATGTATTTCAAGCTTCGTTAAAATCGGATCAAAATTGTGACATCTAGAGGGTCCACAACCTTGATATACCAGATGTTTACACTATTTGCGTAGACGGGCGGCTATTTTGTCTGGTAGTTTTGGTCCGATTTCCATGAAATTCGAACTCAACCAACAGTACGATGTAACGGTGACATATTCGAACGTTGTTTTTTTTAAATCAGATAATAATTGTGACCTCGAGGGACCACAAGCTAAATACGCGATTTTTCGTACAATCGGGGGCCATAATTCAGGAAGTTATGATCCGATATGCGCGAATGTTGAAAGGAACCAAGATCGTTGGGTTATAAACATGTATTTCAAGTTTCATCAAATCGGGTCAAATTGTGAGCTCTAGGGGGTCCACAACCCTGATACCATATTTTTACACTGTTTGCGTTCGAGGGGCGGCTATTTTGTGCGGCAGTTTTGGTCCGATGTTCACGAAATTCGAACTCAACCGTCATTAAGGTGTAACGGTGATATATTCAAACGTTTTTTTGTTTTAAATCGGAATAAAATTGTGACCCCCATAGGGTCCACAAGCTAAAAAAAAAATTTGATTTTTCGTACAATCAGGGGCCATAATTCAGGAAGTTACAGTCCGATATGCGCGAATATCGAAAGGAGCCAAGATCTTTGGGTTATAAACTTACATTTCAAATTTCAACAAAATCTAAAACCGCGATTTTTCGTACAGTCAGGGGCTATAAATCATGACGTTACGGTCTGATACATGCCAATATCGAGATCTTGGGGCGATAAACCTATATTTCAAGTTTCTTTGAAATCGGATAAAAATTGTGACCTGTAGAGTGTCCACAAACAATTGTGGACTGACGGATGGACAGGGGCGACGACATTATACGTCCACATGAAAATGTGGGTGTATAAAAGGGCCTTATCTCTTCTAAATCATGTAATCATGAATGTACCAGTAAAATAGCTATTGCTCGTATATTCAAAGAGCAATAGACAAATACTTTCCGGTGAAGCATTATATGATAACTAGAATTTCGTATTAAGACGCGTATTTTGATTTTTAAATACCCCTCACTGAATTGAGTTCAGACGATGCAAATTATATCTGCTTTAACAAGGTACGTAAATATGAATATGCCAGAAAATATTTTATAATTTTGAAAATGTATTCGGACCTTTTTAATGGTATGCATCCCAATATCTTGTATTTTGTGTTATGGCCAGTATTTTGACGCTAAATACCCGCCCCACCTCATTTAATACATGTTAGTGCCATTTCAAATTTGTTCTTTTTTCAAGGTATGTTTCATAAATGTGCAAGAAAATAACTTACATTTTGTAGCAAACAATAAACATACTTTCCAGCTGAATATGAACAGATATCGAGAATTGCTTATTCAGATCGTTTTTTTTTACTTTAAATATCCCTCACCTCCCCTCACTTAATAAAGTTTAGTACTGTGGAACTTTGATCTTATTTCAAAGTATGTAAATATAAATGTGCCAGAAAATAACTTGAAAAGTTGTACACTATTAAACTCTATTAGTTGATTGGGAACGGGTGGGTGGAGTCTTAAATGTTCAAATACGGGTCATACTACGACATTTCAGATATCACACAGAATACCACTGAAAAGAAGTTTCATTTACCTTTTCAGAAATGTAAATTATATTCTGGCACATTTATATTTACATAGATTGAAAAGGGTATTACAGTTTGATGACGCTAAATACCATTAAGTTAGTTTGTTTTTTTTGGGGGGGGGGGCAGTTGGGTGACGCTAAATACTATTACGTTAGTGTGTGTGAGGTGATGGCGGTATTTAAAAGTTAAAATACGGGTTACCCTGTATTGCATGAGTGGAAAGTATTTATTTCTTTATCCTTCTTTCAATATATTACTTATTCCCTGGCACACTCTTTCGTTTGAGCAAAGAAATATTTCGCTATCAGACAAAACCTAATTTCTGAAAATAGACTACTTTCAATTTATTTTCTTTCTCGGAGGCCCGGTCTGATAAGCCATACTACACACGTAATTTCACTAGAGTTGCGATCATCGAGCGATTTTTCTGATTGTATATTATGCTTGCTCGATTCTCCGTTATTGTATGGCGACTTATTGTATGCAAGCCGCTCATGTCGTCATAGTATTCCGGTTCGATTGATTTCGAGAAATGTTTTGGGAGAAATGTTATTGAATAAATGTTTTGGGAGAAATGTTTTGCAAGATTTGTATTTGGAGATTTGTATTTAGAAATTTGTTGTTCCAGATTTGTTTTTCGTTGTATTTCTCTGATGAAATGTAAATGTAAGCTAAGTTTGATTTTTAAAAAAAAAAAAATAAATATCTTGATATTGAAATAAAATTAAAATACATTTTACAAATCTGATATGACAAATGTCTGATTTGTAAAACAAATATGTACAAATGTAAATTTTAGTGTACAAATGTTAATTTTAGTGTACAAATGTTGAAATACCACAACAAATGAAGAAATAAGAATTAGGGACTATGAATTAAGAAATAGGGACTAAGAACACTGAATAAGGAGCTGTTTGGTCTTCCATAAATGGGGGAATAGGGAGAAAGAGGGTGCGATCTATATCTTAAGGCCACCTCAAGATTTGGTCAAAGGTCACAAGATGTAAACAGGGCTAGCGCTTACCCAAACCCACAATCTCGTCAACAATCACGTGCCCTAACCTTATTAACATCTCAGCGACCTTGAAGAAATCTGAAGGTGGCCTTAAGAAATAGATCTAGCTGAGAAAGAGAGAATTGCTTTTCAGTAACAGTCAGTCCATTTAAAATGATGGATTTATCGCCCTTACACATCCTATACCCGGTTAATGTAGTTTACTTTCCAATGCGAGTAATTTATGGAAATGAAAGGGGTTTAACGCCCCACTGTTCTCTACATCGACCGTAATAATTGAAGATGGGGAACGTTTATGGAAATGAAGTTGATTTGAATCTTTTCGTTATTTCTGTATTAACTGAAACTATCTGCGATTCGCAACAGTTCGAATTTACCGTTCTCGCTAAGAATAAATGTTCTCATAGTTATAAACCACTGAACATTGACCAGAAAAGAATCCCATTGAAAGACCAAGGAAAATAAATATCCGGAATCATCCCTTTCTGCTTGACTGACATACTTATTACCATTTTTCAGGTTTCTTAAGAGATTCAACAGGGACGTACATCTCCTCCTACCATTTCTTAGGTGCCATAGCAAATACATCCGGCATTATTCTCCTGTTTGAACCAATATTTAGAAGACTTGATGCCAAATTTAAAAA